TGAATCCTCTCACCCTCCGCATCTCTGGTCTGTACCCCAGTTCTATATGAATAAATAAATCTTTAAAAAAAAAAATAGCACATTCTTAAAAAGCTTAAACTGATAGAAATAGAGCTTTTCAAAAATGAAATAGCATAAGTTATTCACAAGTCACTAGTGAACACAGGTTTTTACTGTGTTAATTTAGAACCACTGCATTCTCAAAGGTTTCTCAGTTTATTGAAAGACCCACCTCATTTTGGATGCTTACTTCTGTCCTTAAGTGCTTTCCTATTACCATCTCATCTATAGCTTTTTACCTACTAATCTGGAGACAGTGATTCTCAGTGGTCCTCAGAACATTAAGCATCAGCATTAATAGGATGGTAGAAATGCAAATTTGTGGAAACCAAGCTGGTCATGCTGAATTAGAAACAAGGCTATGAAGTTAGATACTGAGCAATCATATCCCTGTTACCCTCAAAGTACCCTCAAAGCCTTTCTTAATGGGAGAGAGACTTCTAAGAAAGTAAAAGGAATTTAATACTGCAACATGGATTTTGTGATTTGTATCTTGGTATTCCAAGGAATTACTTGCTTTAAACACAGCTACACCTGCTTAGCTATGTATCAGACATAACATTCTATAGGTTTCTAACTAGGTTAACTTCTAGTTCAGATGTCTAAATGGACAGGGAAGAATTGCAATTTTACTTCTCACTGGTTGAAATTTATTATTTTAAGAATGTAGACCAGGTAAGAGGGGACTTAGTGATTGGTGGTGAGCACAGTGTGATACATAGTGGCTGAAGAAAAAAAATTGTACACCTGGAGCTCATATGCAGTATTGTAAACAAATGTCAGTTCAATAGAAAGGAAAAAAAGTTTCTTAGAGTAAAAAAAAAGATGGTAGACAAAAAAACAACCCATAATGTAATAGCAGTATTAACACTATTAGAAATCAATTTTAATCCAGTTGTAGATCTATAAATAGTTCATGCTTATTGCTACTTTTAAATTGCAGTAACTAGATCACTAGTGTTGAAATGTTTTCACAGAATCTGTACTGTTAGGACACCAAAAGCAAATTGATCAGTCTGCTAGTGTTCACATACAGATTGAGGCATTTTCTCTATATGATGACATAAAATAATTAATAGCAGTCATTACAACAAGTATAACAAGAATGTAATAACTACTTACCCTTGTCTGGGTGATTTAAAAGCATAATTCGTCGATGAGCATCCCTTATTTTTCCTTTATTGGCAGTAGGGCTAATTTAAAAAGGAAAAGGTATTTACTACTTATAGGTTACATAAAGTAACTATAGAAAGGCCAGTTAAAGATACTGTAAAGCTATTACAATATGAAACAACAGTACAGAAAACTTTTTAATAATCTTCATTAATATGATATTCTGAATCAGAATGAAATTGTTTAAAAATTTAGTTAAATCTGAAATCATAAGTCTTGGAAAGGATGGCATGTTTAGCACAAAAAGTGATAACATATTAGCATCATTGAGGACTATGTGATTACCTAAAACCTCAATGAGTTAAATAGCTATGTGCCAGTTTGCCTTCTGCCTGGAGTCGTTTAGGGTGTGTTTAGATCTTAGGAGGTAGTAACAAAAGAGAGGTTTTTAATATATTCACTAATAGGTTTCCAGTTGAAAAATGAAATTATTAGAAGTTACCTTACACCTAATATTAATGCTGCTTCCCGTTTTGTCATTTTGGGTTCAAACCCACCTCTATAATAGCCACCACTGAAAGCCTGAAAGAGGAAATGCATTAATAGATTATTAAACAAAATTGCTTTTAAAAAGAATTAACTTTCATAGAACCAGTAAAAAAAGTTTTCTCAGAACTTTAAGGGTAATTCCCAGGGAATTTTAGATTTGTAAGTAGTGATAAATACTTTTAACAATCATTATAGAAGTAATTTTTTCCCAGACAGCCCTGAAAACATAAGTGCCTCAAAGTCACTTCAAGGAGTGAAGGGAATGTTATTCCAAGTTAGCCACATCATAGATAAAAATTTGATCTCAAAACACGAATAGGTTTTTGAACAAGACGTTTCCCAAGAAGAGGATTTAAAAGACCTTTCAAGACAGATGGTTCAAGGCAACTAGTAAAACTTAAAAAGACCGCATTGATAAATTCAGGCTGTCTGGTACTCTCACTTTATGTCACAAATCATAGGTAAAGCCATCATTCTATATCATCATATTCAGTCACAAAAAGTAAACATTCAATATGCTATCCTAGACTAACTCATTCTAAGTTATAATCATACTCTAGCCCAGTCAACTGCGGTGCTACCCAAGTATGGAGTGCCAGAGCTACACGTTAAGAATGGATAACTTTAGATCCCTAATCCCGCTATACTTGTACAGAGCAGATAAAGAGGGCAAGAATGGGGACAATATTGCTAAAGTTAATAGAATATGAACGAAGTGATTCCGATGGGGATTTAACACCTCTACCCTAATCTTTCACACACATCTGATTTTTTAGCAGTACCATCACAAAGCTCAGAATTTCTAAGTCCTGTGGGATGCAAAGTGAAGAATATAAAAGCCGTCACTTAGAACTTAATGTATGTTTGGAAATTACCCTCAAGTGTGCCTCTGAGCTTCATATACAGGCAGCAAAGAATTAGAAAAAAATGTCTTACAGATTTTGGTAGACTTTGGAAAACCTGTTTTACTTGAGGCTCCATATGTTTCATGGCTTGCAAAACATAGCGACCTAAAAACAAAAGCAATATAATAAGTAAACAAGTTCCCAACTCCCTACTTTCACCCCCAAGCCATATAAACAAACCTGCAAATCCTGCAGCAGCAATGGTCAGTCCAACTGCTACCATTGTACTGGCCTGGTAAAGGAAAGCAGAGTAAATACTTAACGTAGTCCTCATCCTTACCTATGATGCATACATTCTCACATTCCCATTCATTACATGGTTTATTTTAACAGAACTTTCGGTGTGATACTTATAAAATCATGGCATCTTTGGTACTATCCAATGTATTCTAAAGGCGTGTGATTTTCACTATGGAAAAAAAAAAGCTTATCGATTTGCTTATTTTTACGAGGTGTGGAAAGATGATGTCGCACCTTTCGAAACCTTTCACGTTCGGTTTTGCCCCTTATGCTTACAGGAGGCAATCTGTTAGCAGAGCTAAGGGAAAAGATAGAGCAAAGCGGAGAAAGTGACAAATCCGTTTCCCCCAATTTCCAAGAGTCTGACAACCTCTGACCTTCTAAGTTATGGGGGAGCAGCGCCTAACGTCCAGAGCCCAAAGTCGGCATACCTGGGCGCGGAGTCCCTTAGGTTTGTTGTGTGTGAAGCACAGACCTAAGAGCAGTAAGCAAACCGCTTCATCCAGGAGGATGTTAATGGCACCACGGGGTCTTACACGCCCCTCATCGACAGCGGCAAAGGGGAGACCTCCTGCAGTCTAGAAGTCGAAGTCTGGGCCGGGACTCGCTCAGGAGACGGGAAGGCGGCACTCACCATGGCTCCGGCTCAGCTCTCCTGCCTCCACCGAGAGCGGGGTTCATCCCAGACCAGAGGCCGCGGCCACCAGCCCCACGGCGACACAGGAAAACTACCCGGCCACCACCACCAGCACAAGCCCAGTTTCTGGCGCCCTAGGAAGTACGGCAGTACGGTCGTAAAATGGGGCCGGAAAACGAAAACTGTCGTAAAAGCGGAAACCAGAAGGGAGGGAAAGGTCGCTCAAGCGGTGGCAGGTGGACAACGTCTCTTTGGATTGGTTGGTGGGTGGGCGGTTCACTTCCTTACTGGGCTCAGGGCGGGGCTTCCCTCTGTTTTGCCCTTGCTCCGGACCGACGGTTTTTGGAAGTTCCTAGGAGGGAGACTATCGGGATGGAAAGGCATGACCACGCATACGATCCTTCTCAGAACGTTTTTCTTTTTCTTCCTATAAGTACCTCCATTTGCTTTTTATTTTCTTCTTAAGTGTAGAGGACAACGAGTATCCTCAAATAATGCTTAACACTTTGACCATGAAGTTCAGTAAACTAGTAAGCCAGTGTAGCTGTTCCAGAAAACCACACGAACAAACCATTTTGTGGTTTATGGCTTGTTCGGAAATATTCTTTTATTTAAAATAATTCTACTTAAAGAAGTGACTTTAATAGGACCTTGTGTGAGTGTTTGGAGTTTTATAGACTGGGATCACAACTTGAAAGACACTTAACATTCTGATCTTGGAATCAAAACTGAAAGGGCTGTTTAAAATTTCTGTCCCTACCTCAAAATAAAAAGTAGACTTGTGTTTGCCATTAAAAGGCATCAGTTTCACATATTCCTACACAAAAACTTGAGAAGAGAAAAAAGATGGAGACACTAATAGAAGTTTTACAATATAATGTTTGGGTGATTAAAATAAATCGGAGTTGGGCCCTCCCCTGGTGGCGCAGTGGGTTAAAGCACAGCACAAAGAGGCTTAAGCCACTTCCACATGAGTTTGATCCCAGCCTGCCCCATCCCCGCCTGCCCCAGGAGACCCACATGGCACTGCAGACCTCTCCTGACCCGCCCACTGCTCCCCTCAGCAGTGTACTTCCTCTATCTGCCTGTTATTGCTCCCAGCTCTGTTTCTGGTGAATCCTCTCACCCTCGCATCTCTGGCCTGTACCCCAGTTCTGTACGAATAAATAAATCTTTGAAAATAAATAAATAAATAAATCGGAGTTACTTTCCATTTAGAACTTAAAAAGTGTTAGAAATTTCTTTTGGCTTTTCCCCTTTCATCTACAAAAAGACTGCATTTGACTCTCCAAGTACTCTGCTAAAAAAATCTCATGCATATTTTTGGTATGTACAAATTATGGCATGCAGTTTATTTGAGAAACAGGTTACCATATAGAAGTCCAGCTTTAGAAAACCAAGGATAGGCAAAACATTGGGACGTTTGAAGTTGAGGTGACATAGCTCTGTTTTTGAGGAAAAACAATCTGTTACAGGGCACGGAGAGGGGGGTCACCCTAGAATCCCCAAGTCTGCCTGCTCTAAATAAGTTTTGCCATCCACACCCTCAGTACAAAATTTATAAGACCTTTAGTGGAAAGGAACTTTAATACAATATAGTTTCTAAAACAAAATCTCAAAGTTACCCATCCCCTTGTGTATAAAAATCCATCCAAACAGGATTGGACCAAAGCAAGCCCCTAATGCCTGCCACAGTGTAAAGCACCTTCCCACGGGGATCAATATAAAAAGGTCAGAAACAGCCAGAAGTCTGGGAGGAAAAGAGTAAAATCAAAACCAAGATAAAAAGCTGCCAGTGTTAACCTCCACATGGATCTCTCACCCACATGTGTTTCAACCAGTCCAGGACGAAAAGGCAAGTGTAGCTCTTCATATGTCTCTCTGCTACATGTGCCTCCTCCAGGTCTCCTTCTTGTCCTTCATCCTGCTTCCTTCCATCTCCAGTCTCCTCTCCAGCTTCTTCTCCTCTGTACTCAGCTCCATCCTCCCTTGGGTGGAACAGGAAACCTGAAACTTCCTCTTTTCCTTGGCACCATCCTGTTACAAAACTAGATGTACAACATAGCTCTTGCACTTACTAGCTGTGTTCCTTTGGACAATGATTTCTAACATTCAGATTTCTCATTCATAAAACAAGGGTGATGATGACCACCTTCCTGAATTTGGGTGAAAGTAGAGATTATGTCGTGTTTTCTGCACATAATTACCACTCAGTATGTGGGCATTATAATGAGAGAAGTCAAAGTGTAAGTTGGTATATTGCAGAGAATTTGAGGATTTTCATGACATTTCACTCATGGATGTAAGTCTGATAAACTTATTGCTATCCACTAAAAGCCTAAAAAGAACCCTTAAGAGTAATAATTTAAAATGTCCATCAGCTGACTGAAAATCACTTCTCAGGGCTTTTTTATTTTAATTTTTTTAAGCTTCTAGAGAGTGCCAGTATTCCTTAAATTGTGAGTATAACATTTCAACCTTTGAGGACGGTTAATATGTTGAAATCTTTATCTACTTGATCTTCACATTACTGTTCTCTGTGTGTAGAATCCCTTCTGTTTCTCTCTCAATGTTCACATATAATTGCTGTTAGGGTCTAGCCTTATAACCCAGGAAAAACTCCTCATGATAAGACCCTTTATGTAATCATAGAAGCTTTCCTTATTCACAAATTCTGAAGTTTATGCAAAAGACTTTGCCACAAAGGGTAACATTCACAGGCTTCAGGTTTTAGGACTTGATATCTTTGGGGGCTATTATTTAATCTATTACAGAGAATAAGAAAAGACAAAAGAGGGGACTAGCAGAGACAAGATAATGAGAAAGAACTAAATTTGCTCAATTTATTCTGTATTTGTCTATCAGATAAATCACTTCTTAATGAGAGAGAGAAACTAAAAGTGTTCTTATACTGTGGCTTTCAAATAGCTTTGACCATGACTCTTAGTAATAAATACATTGTGCATTGACACAGGGAACAAATGTATGTGTGAGCACATACACACACACACACACAAATGCACATAATTTATTTTTAATTTTGCGATAATACTTATTTCATGAGATGTATGTTGATTTCTATTTCTTAAAAAAAAGATGGGAAACCCATTAAGTTCACAGTACACTAATTGTTCATAATGTGAAGTTTAGAATGCATCATTACAAAGAAGCCAAAAAGATTGCCCAGAAACATGCCGGGCAAATGAGTTTTTTTTTTTTAAGATTTATTTATTTATGCATACAGAACTGGGGTACAGCCTGAGGTGAAGGGGAAGTAAGAGGATTTACCAGAGACAGAGTTGGGAGCAGAAAAGGCAAATTGACTGACGTATGCTTCTGAGAGGTGAGACCAGAGGTCCTCCAGGCTGTGTGGTCACCTCCCCTGGATGGGATTGAATTTGCATTTAATATACTACCACTAGCTTTGCAGTGCTGTGTTTTAATCTGTTGCATCACCCAGGAGGGCCCAAGAGTTATTTTCTCCTAAAATCTATGTGCCAAACACTTTATGTAGATTATTTTATTTGACTTCATGGTAGTAATATATTTTTTAAAATAATATAATAGTTTATTTTTACATCACTTTGTGCATTTTTTCATCTCATTTGTAATCCCCGTGGGCTTCCCATTACCACTTCACCCATGTGCCATCACCATAGTCTAGTGCATTTACTTTCCCCCACTGTTTTTGATCCCACTCCCCCTCCACCCTTGTAAAATGTCTCTGGTATATAGTTGTGCATTATTATTATTATTTTCTCCCCTGGTCCTTTATACTCCTGCTGTGAGTGAAACCATCTGGTATTTTTCCTTTTTTTTTTCTGGCTTATTTCACTAAGCATGATCTTTTCCAGCTCCATCCATGTTGCTGCAAAAGGCATGTGTTTATTTTTATTTATTTATTTTTTTTTTTGGTTGCTGAGTAACATTCCATTGTGTATATGTGCCACATCTTTTTAATCTAGTCATCCATTTTTGGGCATTTGGGCTGTTTCCATGTCTTTCCATTTGTGAATAAAGCAGCAATAAACATGGGGGTGCAGATATCTTTTTGAATCAGTGTTTTTGTGTCTTTTGGGTAGATACCTAGGAGTGGGATTGCTGGGTCGTAGGTAAGCTCCATGTTTAGCAGTTTGTAGAACCTCCAAACAGTTTTCCATAGTGGTTGTACTAGTTTGCATTCCCATCAGCAGTGCAGGAGAGTTCCTTTTTCTCCACATCCTCTTCAAAATTTGTTGTTGCTAGTTGTTTGAAGATGTGTCATTCTCACTGGCCACCCCAGTTTTTATCCTACTCCCTTTCCACCCCATACTATGTCTCTGGTTTATAGTTGTTCATTGTTCTCATTTTTACTTTATTACATTTGTTTCTCTCACTCTCTTCAATCCCCCCCCCCCAACCCAATACTTTTCACTCCTGCTCTGAGTGAAACTATCCAGTATTTTTCTTTTTCTTTCTGGCTCATTTCACTAAGCATGACCCCTTCCAGCTCCATCATGTTGCTGCAAAAGGTATGAGTTTATGTTTTTGATTGCTGAGTGTATATATACCACATCTTTTTAATCCAGTCACCTATTTATGGATAAATGACTGACTTTTCTAAAGCTTGACATAGCCTAGTAATTGCTCACTCTTATTTTCTATCCTACAGATACATGTACTGTTAGGCTCATGAGAGGGTCATTTTTTTTTTTTTTTTTTAGAAATTGTCTCAGATCTGCATTAAGGTCCCAACCAACAGCCATTTATCCCAGGGACTCTTAGGCATCAGCTTATGTGCTGCTATGTGCACAATTAAATGACATTCAATAAATATTTCCTTCCTTGGCCTCCTCCTGCATATCACCCATCCACCCCCCCTTTTTTTTTTAAATCTCCTCCCTTCCTCCTTCCCTACAATGATTCTGGCATAATGTGACAGTCTATCAAAGGGAATTTGTCCCATTGTCTGTGTTTGGATATTAATATTAATGGTGAATGGTCATACTGATCTATGATCGGCAGACTCCTTTGTTAATTGTTTTAAGAGAACCTTTGGTGTTATAATTTTAATTGGGATGCAGAAAGGAAGGAAATAAATGATTTAGAGTAAGAGAGTCTTGGGTAGGAATCAAATGAGAACCTAGAGCACTAGGGAAATGAAGAGGATCCTGGATAGTTAGAAGGGAGGTGCAA